GCATGCACCTTCGAGTCTTGACGTCTCTCTCCCTTACCCTAATATCAGATTAACCACCCATTTCCATTGCTTTTACTTAAGCTTTTCTCTGGTCTCTTCTTGTCCATCCTTTTACTCACTGCCCACATCATGTGTAACCTCAACCACTACTTAGAAACTAATCTCACTGCCTTCATTCTTGTCCTTTTCAAATGTTCCACACACTCTTAATGCTAGAGGGATTTATTTGAAAACAAATTGGATCATATAATTAACCTGTTGGAAAGTCTTGATTGACTCTTTGTCCACATCTAATAGGATAAAGTCCCAGCCCATTGAAAGGCTCTCAAGATCCTTTGTGTGTGGCTTGAGTTGCCTCTGATTTCTCCTCCTTCTGCTCCTTACCAGTGATTATTGTCCCAGCAGCCCTGAAATACATGTATTTTGTCATATATGCCATGTATATGCCATGTTGTTTCTTACCTCCATGCTAGTCTTTATGACTTTCTTTCTGCTCATAACTCCATGCTTATCACTTCTTTTCATTTGCCTCTTTTTTTTTTTTTTTAAGACTCCGCCATTTAAAAAATCTATTCAGGTATTGTGAGCTCTAGAAATCTTCACTGACGCCTCTCCTCCCTGAGTCCACTCAGATCAAATTGGGCTTTGCTCCTGATTACCATTATGATTATCTGTGAAATTACTGTGCTTGCCATGTTGTTCAATAGTTGTCTGATATGTGTCAGTCTCTCCCACTGAACTGAATTATTTTAGGTAGGGACTGAGTCTGAAAATATTTTTGTTTCTCAACACGTGGCACAGTACTTGACAGAAAGTAGGCACTCCATGAACATCTGCTAGAATAAATAATATTCAAAGACATCAGACACTTTCAGAAAATGTTTCTGTAAATCTATATGAAAAACCATTTATTGGCAACATGAGTTACAAAAAAATAGTGTCCAACTGGAAGACAGATGATATGTGGGCATTTTTGGGAAGGAATTTAACAATTTATATGACATTGGAAAAGTTCCAGATTTGTCTGATGAATCTCTCTGTATAAAAAACCAGATTAGAATATTTCTACCTATGCAAAGGAAGTTCCTGAGCATTGGTAAGAGACCACTGGTTAAATGGTCTGTGCATCTGGAATAAAGTTGCAAACACCTCCTTCTGTCTGCTTCCATCAACTTGGGCACCAGGTAAAGAAGGGAAAGAAGCCTTTTCTACTTTTCCTCATTCTCCCCCCACCCCCTGCCTCCTTCCACCAGCAAGTGTACCTCTTTCAGAAAGGGGGAACAGAGGATTTGCATTTCTCTCACAGTCCAAGCCATTAAATGTTCTTGCCTCTGAGTATCCTAGTTGTATGTAAGTGACAGTTTGGGGACATTTTTCTGACAAGGAGAGAATAAGACCCCTTTTATGTAAATGTTACTCATGCTCTAAAATGTCATACTGTCCTTTTAACTGTTAACTTCTTTTTTATCTGTGGTTTATTATCCCCTTTGAAGAAGCATTTATTAAGCTCTTGCTGTGCCTCCAGCTCTGTGGAAGATACAAAGGAAATGCTGGGCTCAGCTTTGTCCTCAAGGACACTTGAGGTGGGGAGAAAACAGAAACAAGCAAGTTGACCAAACACCATTGGATGTAATCAGACATGTAGGGCTCTCGCTTGGTCCCTGTCATTGGAATTGCAATCTTTTCCTTCGCTCTACTAAACTCTTGAACCTCAAGCACTGACATGTACAAAAGAAGAATGAGGGGCAAATTGCTGTTGCTATGTTTCTGTGTTTAAGTAATAATTATAGAAAATTCTAACTGTTGTGTCCCCCCCCCCCCGATTTGTTTATATCAAAGTAGGGCTGCAATTCTCAAAGGCATACATGTATGACTCCCTGTCCCACCTCAGAACACAGCAAGTATTTATTAGTCTGCTCTGACTTAGCACTAGAGATGCCTGTTGCTTCTGTCAAAGGCTCATCTTTATAATGCATTTATCATTTGCCTTTGTACAGCTTTGTGCAAAGCTTTGTCTTTGCACAGCTTATTACTAAGATGCTGCTGATGCTTTTTTTAATGACCTCTGGTGTTCACTATGAGAATTAGGCTGTTGGAGTAACCTCCTCTGTGCCTCTTACTTCTCTTAGATCGATTCTCCACTTTATCCAGTTGATATCTTCTAGATCCACATTGCCTCCTGCCCATACACCTTCAGTGGCTCCCCATACTTCACAATGTCAAGTCCTTAGGCTGGCTGCCACAGTGACTTTGTCCAGGCCCCACCTGCTTGTGGGACCTCATTTCCATCTCACTGCTCCCCAATTCCATGCATTCTCAGCCCCAATGGTTCTTAAAACCTGCTCAGCCCTTCACAGATGCCCTTACTTTGCTTCTATCGTTCCCTTCCCCAAAAGTGGCCTCCCTCTTGCTCACAGGACAGCACAGTGGATAAAGACACTGGGCTTTGCATAGATGCAGGGTGATCTCAGTTCTGCTTCCTCAAACTCATGTAAATTTGGGCAAGGCATTAAGTAATCTGTGCTTTAATATTCTCATGGAAAATGAAGACCACAATAGCTTCCTTGTAGCATTAGGAAGATTAAAGGAATATATACAATTAGATCCCATGAAATCTTTCCAAAGTAGCCTTTACTGAGTGTTGCTCTTCTTTCCTCTGAACTGCATACATCACTTATTCAGTCAATGGATATTGAGTGGGCACCTGCTGTATGTGAACACTAGACCAACAAGAGGTGTTCATTTTGCTGTATTTTGGCACCCTGTTGATTCTTCACATGGTATTTATAAAATATTGTGCAAATTTAAAAAAATATCATGCTACAATGGAGATCAAGGTACATCTAATCTTTCTTATCCATTACTAACCTTCAATTCAACTCTAAGTTCTTTGAGGACGGAGGCTTTGTCTTACTCATATTTGTATTCTTCCAGAGTACTTATGATAGTGTCAAGAACTCCAGAACTACTGGCTGAAACTTGATTTTGTTTACCTAAATTTTAATTTCTGTAAACTATTAGAGAAATTAAAAAAAAAACAACAACTAGGGTACTTGGGTGGCTCAGTTGGCTGAGCGTCTGACTCTTGATTTCAGCTTGGGTCATGATCTCAGGGTCATAAGATAAAGCCTTGTGTTGAGCTCCATGCTGAGTATGGAGCCTGCTTGGGATTCTCTCTCTCTCTCTCTCTCTCTCTCTCTCTCTCTGTCTCTCTCTTTCTCTCTTTGTCCTTCTCCTGCTCATGTGCTCTCTCACTCTCTGAAAAAAATAAAATAATTTTAAAAAATGAAATGGGTTGATCAAATTATTCCAGTCGCAAAGAACTGTAACATTAGAATCAGGATTAAAAGTCTCTGGGGCCTGGATGCCTGATTTAAAATCTTAGCTCCAACATTTGCTTGCTGGATAACCTTGTGCAAACTACTTACCATTTCTGTGACTCAGGTGAGCCATAACAACAATGCTCATCTCATAGGGGTGTTATGAGAATTGAATGAGTTGGTATATGTAAATTCACTTAGAGAAATGCCTGTCATATGATAAAAACAGTGTTAGGATTATTATTAACATTTGGGTTGCTTCTATGTTGCTAGTTAAAACACAAAAGACTTCATCCTAAGGCTCAGCTATGAACAGCTGAAATGGTTTAAGAGTATAATTAGCCCTTTAGTTTTTCCTCCTCTGCTATTTTTTTGTGTGAATCTGGATCTCTCCATAAACTTTTTTCCATTTCTTTGGATAACCCATATCCCTACCACTCGTTCTGAAGAAAGTACAATTAGCTTTAGAACTGTGCTACTTACAATTAGAAAATTCCATTCCCTGCTTAGGGCTATCTCAACCTCCTCCTTTATTATGGTCCAGATTTCATAGTGTCCGGCAGGTGGGCCTGGCAGTTATGTTTGTCTCCTTTTAGAAGAGTGTGCACAAAAAGAACTATTTGTTGATTTTGGCCAAGGCCCCGAGGCAAATAATAGCATGCTGCAAAGTGAAGCACTCAGCCACCAGAAGGACTTACAAAGGGGGTGTGGTCAAAAAACCAGTATTTTTCAACCCCTAGCTGGACACCCACTGTTAGCCTTTAAAAAATTTAGAAAGGATGATAAAAAAGGCTTTAGAGATAGGAGAGAATTTGAGGAGAGAATCGTTAGTTTTGCCACCTAGTCCCCTAGTAAGCATAAGGAAGGAGAACCTATCCCTTACTCTAAGCCAAGGGAAAGGAGGTTCCACAGGCCCTCTGAGATCCTCTGGAACTTGATCCACCAGGGACTTCTATCTGACTCACACCTTAAGAAATCTAAAGGGAGTAGGGCTCTGGCAGGCCACTCTAAGAGCAGGGCACATGAATGAGAGAATTGCATTGGTACAACATAAGGCACCAGAGCCTGTTGGAGCCAGAGATGTTTGAGTGAGTCCGTGGGCCAGATGTGGGACCTTAGTCCTAGACCTAGTTCAAGACACCTGCCTATGAGGTGAGAAGGCCTTACCAGGCAGGAGTTGTAGGGGTACTAGAGGACACACAGTGCCGAGGAAGGACATTAGTAATTAGAGGAGAGATTCATTTTTTTTTTTAATCAAGAGAGTGGTAGACAAGAGATTTTCAGAAATGTTGTGACCCAGGGCTGCCTGGGTGGCTCAGTCAGTTGAGTGTCTGACTTTGGCTCAGGTCATAATCTCACTGTCCCTGACTCCAGACTCCATGTCAGGCTCTGTGTTGACAGCTCAGAGCCTGGAGCCTGCTTCAGATTCTGTGTTTCCCTCTCTCTCTGCCCCTTCCCCACTCGTGCTCTCTCTTTCTCTCTCAAAAATAGAAAGACATTAAAAAGATTAAAAAAAGAAATGTTGTGACCTCAAACTGGATCCCTGAAAGCACCCTCTGAGATTGAGTTGGTTTTAAATACTTGCCAGGACCAGGGAGTACCTGCCCCAGGCAGGACTAGTCTACTCATATCTTTGTTGACCAAGTATTCTTCTCTCTCTCCTTTGCTCTAACCACCAAGGCAAAAAACATGGAGAGTGAGAAGAGGAAAGAGGAGAGAAAACCAAGGCAAAGATGGAGAGAAGGTCTTCTTAACCTTGATCATTGTAGGTACCTCCTTGCACCTGGCTTAAATTTGCCAGAGGGCAGAAGATTTAACTTTGGATGAAGATCGACCTTTTCACTAAACTGAGGTAAAGAAATTAATTACTGAAATGAGATAGTTTCTTTTTTGTTTCACTAAAGGTATCAGAGAACTTTTAATTATCTGAGAATGACCAGAAGACCCATGGGATCTGTCTGCATTCTCATGCAAGCAGACACGGAGGAACTTGGCCTCAGGAGTGAACAGCAAAGACACCAGCAGAGATGCTTTCAGATTAAGCACTTGAGTTCCACTTGTAAAATGTTAAGATTACATTTGCTTTATTGAAGATAAATTTTTCCCTCTTTTTTTTAGTTCTACTTTTTGATGACTTTTGAGGTAAGGGATTGAAATAAAAATGTCTTTACCAACTTTAAGGAGAGGATTCCTAATCAGTATGTGAAAGAATAATGTGATTAAACATTTGTCTAATCATCTTCAGCAAAGGAAAAAGTATAAAAGAATTTTAATAAAGGATTTTGGTTTTTAGGTTAAGGTACAGCTATTCACTATCAGTTGAATTATATAAAAGACTAAAATTTAATTTAGTTCTTTCTTTAAACTTTAGATTTAAATTTACAGAAAAGTTGCATACGTAGTACAGATTCCCCACACCCTGTTTAATCTATTGTTAATATTTTATGTTAATATGGAACATTAGTCACAATTAATGAAACATTATTCATGGACCACAATTAATGAACATAATGTTGTTAACTGAAGTCCATATTTTCAATATTTTAACTAAAGACCTTCATTTTTATCTGATATTCTTTTCTGATCCAGGATCCCCCCCCCCCCTCAGGATATCACATTATATCCTTAGGTTCCTCTTGGCTTTGACAGTTTCACAGATTCTCCTTGTTTTTGATGACCTTGACACTTTTGAGGAATACTGGTCAAGTATTTTATAGAATGTTCCTCAACTGAAATTTTTCTGATATTTGTCTTATAATTAGATTTGGTATTATAAGTTTCTAGAAGGAAGACACAGAGAGGTATAGTGCTATTCTCATAGTATCATAGCAAGGATGTATATTATCTGTATGACTTATCACTATTAATGTTAACTTTGATCACCTGACTGAGGTTGTGTTTTTCAGCTTTGTCTCATTTAAATTATTCTTCCCTGCCTCCCCTTCATGCTGTACTCTTTGGAAGGATGTCACTACACTTAATCAAGTGGGGAGTTAGGCTCTACCTCCTTGAAGGCATAGTAGCTACATGGATTCTTCACTAGAGGTTTTTCTGTTCTCACCATTTATATTGATATGGACTCATGGGTGTTGACTTTATGTTTTGAGTTATAATCTAATACTAAATTGTTTATTTTTTTGTAAACTGTTTCAGCTTTTTTTTTAAGTTTTTTTTTTCAACATTTATTTATTTATTTATTTGAGAGACAGAGAGAGACCGAGCACGAGCAAGAGAGGGGCAGAGAGGGAGACACAGAATCTGAAGCTGTCAGCACAGAGCCCAACGCAGGGCTCCAATTCACAAACCGCCAGATCATGACCTGAGCTGAAGTCAGAGGCTCAACCTACTGAGCCACCCAGGTGCCCCTTAAACTGTTTCAGGTTTGACCATGAGGAACTTTTTCAGCTGGCTCTCATGTCCCTTTGAAGTACCCCCATCATTGTGGAGTTTTTATTTCTGAGAAGTTCCTGATTTTCTGATACTACAAGGTGCTCCAGGCTCACATTTATATTTCCTGCTCCAACCCTAGAATTATCCATTTCTCCAAGGATCCCTGTATCTTCAATTAGGAAATGGTATTAGAAACCAGGATCTGGGTACTAGGTGTGCTTGTTGCTCCTTAGATATTTGTGTTTTTTTAAAAAATACATATTTGACATTAATTCAAAAAATATTTCTTGAATGCCTACTCAGTATTACACATTTGGAGAAATAGAATTTGAGATTTTCTGACTACTGCCTACACAGCTGGTATTGAAATCAGCAAAACCTATTTAACCCCTTCTCATTTTCCAAGGAAAAATATGCTAAGTGATAGGAGAGAAGTTGAAAGGGAAAAAATAAACAAATTTTGGTAAACTCTTTGCCTATAACATATACACGCGGCTTATTATTTACTTTATAAGAAAATAACATGAAATTACATATATAGTCTTTGTTATAAAACTTAATTGAAAAACAACCAAGCAATTTTATTAACTATGTGAATTTTGTGTATTAACATAAGTGCTAGCATATGTATTCACATATCTAGCATATTGTGCATTATTTTAATGGCTGTGTCACATGTAGCAAATCAATACACGAAGCACATTAAGTGGGAAGGAAGGGAGTCACCTGAACATTGTGTTCCACATGCATGGATCTGCCATAAACAGGAGTGCTGCATTTGAGTGACACTTGTACTTTAGTAGAAGAATGTGAAACTATAATCTTTTTGTATTTTTTTAAGTTTATTTATTTGAGAGAGAGAGAGAGAGAGAGAGAGAGAGAGAGAGAAAGCACTTGGGGGAGGGGCAGAAAGAAAGGGGGAGACAGAGAATCCCAAGCAGGCTCCATGCTATCAGCATGGATCCCAGTGTGAGGCTCAATCTCATGAACCATGAGATCATGACGTGAGCTGAAATCAAGAGGTGGTTGCTTAACCAACTGAGCCACCCAGGCATTCCACACTGGAGTCTTAAGTAAACTCTGATAAGCTCTAATTGTAGTTTATATACATTGTAATAACCCTTGATAACTAACTTAGGTTAGTAATGTGACAACAAAAATTTCTGCTCTCTATAAACCAGAGTGCAGTTTTCCAGAATACTTTGGGCTTGAGTAGAACAATACAAACTACTAACATTTGTTGAGCGTTGTATATGTCAGGCATATTTTAAGAACTTAATGTCTATTAATTTATTTAACTTCACTGTAATAGTCTTATGTAGTAAGTACTCTTATTTTTATTCTACCACTGAGGAATCTAAATCATAAAGCAGTTAAGGTTACTTGTCCAAGTCACATAGGTAAAAGTGGCAGTGCCAGCCTCTATATCCATCCCCCCATGTGTCTCTCCATGCAGGTAAATGAATTGCTGTGCATGTGGTGGGGAAGGCACACAGCGAACATGGAGGCTATATGGGCAAAGGGGCCGACGGAGCCATCCATGTTGGCATGTGTTAGAAAGGGACTTGGCTACAGTGTCCACAGTATAAACTCTCCTTTGTCTCTGGTACAAAATAATCTTTCAAGTGCACATCCTCACTAAAGTTTGTGATAAAGAGCATTTTTTTGTGTTTGCAGGATTCAAATATGCATTAAGTTTCATATGTAGGTCAATGCAGTGAAATACAGATATATTTTATAAGGATGCAGAAGCCCATGGGATAAGGAAATCAGCACCAGCAAGATGCTCAAATTTTGGGAAGTCCTAGAAATCATCCAGACTCTAAACTTGGGACTTTGATAAAATTCAATTCTTGATCTCAAGATTCATAGAAATATATTTAGCTTTCAGTCTGTGGATGCATATACCATGTGCATAAAAAGCTTGCCAGTATGGGTGAGTTCATGACCCTTCACAGCAAATATTTTCACAATTTGGCTTTAGACTATATTTCATAATTCCTGATGTTACCAGTTTAGAGCCAGGAGGTGGTGAAGAAGACTTTGTTCCATCTTTCAAGGAACTTACAGTCCAGAGGAGATGAGCAGGCAACGAGTAATGGTTCTCCAGTGTGTAAGTACTGACTGTCATGAGCAGAGGGGTGATGGGAATATTAAGAGAGGCACCTATCTCAGAAATAAAGAAGGTTTCTCAGAGGAAAAGATGCCTATTGAGGATGAAAAGCTCAGAAGGAGCTGGGAAAAGGGAAAGTTAGGAGAAAAAAAGAGAAAAGCAGCTGGGGGAGAGGGAAAGGGGCTAATGCCTTGGAAGGAAGTAACAGCACATGCAAAGGCCCAGGGAGGAGGCAGGCTGTGGAGCAGTTAGGGAAGGAGCAGCAGTGCACCATGGCTGGGATATACAGTATGAAGGAAAGTGATGATTGGTGCAGCTGCAAGGTCAGACCTTGAAGGGCATTACCTGACTTGAGACATTTGAAATTTGTTCCAGCCCAAAAGCCAAGATAATGACATGTTGAAAATAACAGTGACATGATCTAAATTGCAGTCCAGAGGTCTCTCTAGGTGCAGTGCTGAGAGTTGGTGGGCAGGGGCACAAGAGAAGAAGCAAGGAAGCCCCCAGGAGACTGATGCAGCAATTGGACAAGACGGGGTGATGGCCTGGACTACCACAGTCATGATGGGAAAAGAAGAAAAGTGGTAGATTGAGGACATATTTTGGCTATAGAATTGACAGAGCTTAATCATGTCTGGGAAGGATGCAAAGAAATGGAAGAATCAAGGATGACCCCAAGTTTCTGACTTGTTTCAGGGCTGAAATTGTTTATCACTTAGCACAGAATCACTGTCTATTTTTGCTTTGGTGCAGATACATTTCTTCTGTTACTTTATTTGCCCTATATATGTCAAAGAGTAACCAATCATGATCAGTTACTTTGTAAAAAATGAATCTTATATTCACATAATGTCTTGGCTAAATAAAAACTGATTTTTTTGTAAGGGATGAATGGAAAGAATCCCCCCCCCCCGCAAATAATATTCCCTATGAAAGAATAACAAAACAATCATAAATAAAGGAAATAATCATGTTGATGATACATTTGAATATTAGTATATTTCAAAGATACATCCTTGGAACACACAATTACTTTTAGAGAAAACAAAAGTCAAGGGAGAGAGGTATTTGTTTTCCAACATCTTTGTGCCAAAGAAAACTGATAACACGAACAAACTGGAGGACAAGATCTGAATGGACTAACCCTTTTTATTTGCCCCTTAAAATGTGATTCTGTAGAGTCCCCAGGGATGCTGAGCCCTGTGAATAGCATTTCTAGGAGGTTGCTGATTGTGATCTCAGAAGCCCTGAGCACTCTCCAAGAATGCTCATATTAGCTAAATAAATTCTGAATAGTAATTGGTGGGAAGATCAGAGAAAAACATCTGAAGGAAATCATGGTGAACATATTGATTGATCAGTTTCCAGGACTGTTTTCTAATTAATCTTCCTGAGAAGAACAGAAGATGAAGAATCTCAAGGGAGACACCCCAGTGAGAACTTGCATGGAGATGGGATAAAGTAGTTCTTGAAGCAAGCAACAGATCACCAGAATGACCTGGAGAGAAACTGTTCATTGGACTGAATCGTGGAATTTTAAATTGAGCCAAATTTAGTGTGTGAAAATCATTGAATTTGGAACACTGCCAAGGGTTGATTAATTCTAGTCAGAGTGTTTAAAATGTTCTTTTCTGAATTAAATGAAAAACACTCACTTGTCCATGTTGAGGGCTGAGC